AGATGACCCAAAAAACTTGGTGTTTTACAGGGTCAGGAGGTTTAGTTCGAAACATATGGCAAGTTGATAGCTCTTATTTAGTAAGAAGTCCCATGCATGACGAAAACGTCCGGGATAGGTCAGCCTCTTTTGCGTTGTTTTGGCTGCTTAGATTTAGGAGCTAAAACACAGTGCTTGGCCGAACTAAAAACCCCAAAGTGAAGAGAAAACATGTAGTAAATTTGGGAGACCGACTCTAGTTGAGGAAGAAGAATAGAATGTAACCAGTGAAAAGTGCATCTTAACAGAAATATATCCACAAAAATCGGGGGATGAAAGTAAAATAACACTGTCTGGCACTCTCCAGTAAAATTCTACGTCATCATCATCATCATCATCGACAACATGACATCAATGTTCAACAACGATGTTTCGCTGCCGTACAACATGACTTGTTTGAAAGCCTTATTGTAAAGGAAAGAATAAAGGTAGATGGGGTGGGGACTTAGTGCTAGCTTAACACAATCATTTCAAGGTGCCTACACCTCCAGACATTCACTCAGGCAACCTGGACAGAAACTGCAACAAGAACAAAAACAATACTCTCTTCGGCAAACGATGGGGGTCAGCTGTTGGCTCCACCACCACCACGGTTCGTGGTTTCATATTCGACCTGACCCACTACCTTTTTGTTCTAGAAACTGGGGCGCTTATTGCTTGTAGATATGGATTTATGGTTGTAAATTGGCAAAGAGAGCTAAGTCAGTGCACCCACTCAGTGAAACTTCATTAGAAAATTTTCTTCTCTTATGATATTTTCTCCGTCGAGAAGAGTGGCTATCCCATGTATTTGATATGAACGATGGTCTGTTTAGCTCACGACTCCACTTTGCTAATTCTTTTTTCTCACCCTCTTGCTTTCGATTGGACTGTTCGCTCCCAGTCATTTTAATGGGTTCTCACTTGGTTCTAGATTGACCGTCGACTTCCGCACTGATGACTCGATGGCTCATTGCCATGCTCTTAACTTTATTTTAGGTTACTACCGAGTATCCGTGGCATCAGCTGGTCACTTCTGCTTGGTTTCAAGGCGTGCGTAGGTGGCAGATTTTCCAGAACCTGCTTCGTATTTGGCTTTACGCAAGGTTTAGGTCAATAGCATTTAGGGCTTAGGAATAGCCGAAAGCATACCTTTTAAAGATGGGTCGTATGGATTGAGAAGTTGCCTTAACATAGCTTCTGGTGAGCATAAATCGTTATTGTAACTTGCACACTACGTGTTTTTGAATGATTCTGACAGACAGAAAAGCATTGCGCGGTATTCGCATGGTGGGCAACTGTTGCGCTATCTATCGTCCTAGTTATCCTGTTAGTCTTTTCTATGTTGCTGTAGAAGAACCGTGTACTTGTTGAATTCCGCTCAACTTGCTGCGCTTCTGTGTTTGCCTTTCCGACGACCGATTCCGAGGCAACTTTGCTATCCAAATTCTTACACCCTTCTTGTTTTTTGACTGTCTCACCTTTCTCGACCGCCGACGTTTTGAATTCAAAGCTCTTCTCACCATCCGCCATCAGTGTCGAAGCCCTAGCATAAATTAAACTGCACTGTTTTTCGGGCAACGTTTGTTTTGGGAGGCCGTTAGACTGGGGGAGTGATTTGGTGTGGTGTGTATGGAACGGGGCACCGGCGTAAATGGCCTGAGGAAGGCCCTTCAGATATAGAAGCCATAGAGCCAAATGCCAGTAACTGACAACAGATATTTCTATTGGTTGCAATTCATGTTTACGCAAATAACGTAAAGGCCCGTTTTGGCTATTCGTTGTGATACTGGCATGCTACAATGTAGGGTAATCATTCCTCGCAATATACCCGGGTTTCTCTCCTACGTAAAGACAAAAGCGTTGGTTTCTAATCGAAAACTCATAATTTGCTTCCCTTTCGTTAATGTTCGGATGGTAATATCGGATGTTTAAACGTGACGAAAAACTGGAGTGTTATTTACCGGAGTGGCCTATCGTTTTTTAGAATGGAGTCAATCAAAAATATACAGGGATTGGAAAATAGAGACTGGATTTGTTGGGGTGATTGTATTCACCAGATATATATAAGCCCAGATAGTATTCAGATGTGGTGACCATTGGAAAAACCCTGCTCCCACTCATTTACTTGATTCGGAAAACTTAATTTTGACTGGACACGTGCAAGATCCCTTAAAATGTGCCATTGACTTACCAGATGCAAGAGACCACCTAATCGGATAACCAGCATTCCATATTGAAAAACCGCCTCAGTAGACATGGCAACAGGTACATCTTCAGTTCAACATTTTGGCTGACGTGTACAAGTCCACAGATTGTCGGAGGATTGTCACACAGATTGGATGTTTTCGTCAAATACCCCCTTTTAGCTTCCCCCTGCCGCTCTGTTATCAGCGATTCTCAAACTAGAATCGAAAAGCCTGTAGAGCAGCTCCTTAATTTCGCAGCACTGGACAATATGTTTGCCGGAGTGGGGACTCACCTGAGAAGCATCCAAAAGTCCTTTAGACTCTGTTCTAAATGTAATGTGTTAATTGTCAAAAGAAAATTGCTCTGCGCACAAACTATCCAATATGAAGAAAACTATTACTTAAGGAGTGCTTGCTCAGCCCGAAATTTTCACAAATTTCCCGTCGCGTATTAATTTAGTGGAAAACATGGCCGAGTAGACGCACAGTGTTCTTAGCTGCAACAATTTTACAAGTGGAATGAAACTTTTTGCTCCACAATTTCATTGTGCACTGAAGCAATCAGACCCTGGCGGAAAAGTCCGGTGGAAAAATATCCAAGTATCGTTGAGACCACAGTATGCATAAATGTGGCAAAAATGTTTGAACTGGTACTCGGAACTCAATTGCCCAATTGTTTCAGCCCACCAGGTATACGCTTGTATAAAAGTATCCAAAAACTCACTGTGTGGATGTTCTGAGAATAGCAGCCGGGTGGGTTGAAAAGGAGAATGCGACGTATTAGTTGGATGTAACAGTAAGTTGGTAACTCTCGCCAACTGTCCACATAGAAGCACAAGAGCGTAGGTTCAACGGTTTATTCTCCGAACATCTGAACACGTGGGAATTCAGAAAAGAGTGTGTCAACCATGGGGAACAGGGGGTACAAGCATACATAAACATCAGACGGTGGAAGTCACTGGGGAGGGCGGTCAATTTCATCTGTCCGGTATTCAAGGATGTCTTCATTTTCTACCATCGTTACCGCCGCCACGTCTGAAAGTAGGCGAAAGAGATTGTGCGATGGGATGGCGCGCAGTTTGACACCCGTCGGCACATTACAATGTCAAAGATTTCGAAACTTCATTTCCATTGTGTGAATACCGAGCTCCATGCTGTCAGCCAAAACTTGTTCAAACAGATCGTGGTTGAGCGTTATTTCAATTCGGGGTCAGCTCTATTTTAGTGGAAATATTTCGGACACCCGGGAGAAATTTCTCACAGCCGGTGTATCGGAGGTCGGCAACCACTATCGTGTCGTTCCGTGAAAGCAGTCCGGGTGTGGGAGCACCGAATCTTATGAAGGGTGATCACTGATGACGGTGAAGTCAGAAGAACATGTTTAAATGGAGCTAGATACTTAACACTATTCCGCATTCAACCGTGCACTATCTTCTTGTCCCATCGCAAGCCACGCGGCAACGGTGAGCACTGAGCCTTTTCAGGTTAATTTGTGGACGTAATTTTCGTCATCCGGAGTCAGGTGTTGGTGGAGTAGCCAGAGCTATGATGGATCGATATCCATTTGAATGACTGGTGTGGAACCCCAAGATTTTAGGCCATCTACAAAATCAGACGTTGAGTTGGAAGCATTACCGGAAGGTAATTGCCGCAGATCCGAAATTCTGGTGGCCCTCAAACAATTTTTAGAAACTTCAATGGAGACTGTAGCAGAGGAATTGCAGATTGATCCGACCGACGATCTATTTGATAGTAAGGGATTAATCCGGCGCAGAATTTCTCCTTAAGTTCTATAAGACTCCAGATTGTGGAGCAGTGTAACTTGTGAAACCCCAAATGATTTCACTAATTTGAAAAATTCGGCGAGTAACATGAGTTTCTCCTCCTCGTCTTAGGGTAAGCTGTCCGTGAACTCGAAACTCCAATTCCCACTGAACGATATTGGAGGAAGCCGTGTTGCGCCGGAAATGCGTTCCATCACTCATGAGTTTCTCCTCCTCGTCTTAGGGTAAACTGTCCGTGAACTCGAAACTCCACTTCCCACTGAACGATATTGGAGGAAGCCTTGTTGCGCCGGAAATGCGTTCCACCACCATGTGGGGCATGCTAGCGGGTCTAAAAGGCCTCTAGATTCCGAGTTGTAGGTGGTCAACAGGCTTGTATGATACCATGACATTCGCCTCCTTCCGGGCAAAAAGAAAGTTTCCCCTGACTGACAAAACCTCGGGTGAGGATGTCTGGTCAAGGCTATCAGCGTTTCATTCAGGATTCTCGGATGGACTCCAATTTTCCCTGACGCACTGGAGGGCTTTCTTTTGTGCAAGACTTGACGAATGTCCTAATCCTTATAGACCATTTTCGTTATAGGCCGTTTGTAGTTTTGCCCCGCGAAGGTTGGATGTGAGAGGGTCGCTGAGCACAATACAGATATATGTGTTGCTTTCTGAAGGCTCCAGGTACCACTATTTGGTAATTCATGGATTTTCCGTTTTTGCTCCTCAGGGAAAAAGCAGCAGGTTTGTTTATTTATCAGTACCTCGTGTAAGTAAGTGACATTTCCGTCTTCACCGACAACACCTTGTATCGTGCTCCAGTTAAACAGTGGCTGTTTGATTATTTGCGTTCGGCGGCGGGAAAATTGGGGTAGGTAAGTATGGTAATTCTCTGGTGCTATTGCAACATTTGGCAATCTTGTTGATTTTCACGAAGTGGCTGGCGTTGTTCACCAAAAATGGGCCAAGACATCTGCAACCAATAGGTAAGATTGGCCATAAGAACCATTCAAACCGGTTCTTGGCTTTCCATCTTTCACTTCGCTCTAGTTCACCTGCTTTTAAACCCTTCACTTACCTTTTCCCCTCCTTTCTTTTCGGGAAACAGAACAGACTGCCGATTTAACGAGCAGGTGTTTTATCCTACAGCTTTTTGCCAAGTAAGCTAAGCTTCTCCCCGATTGGATGCCTACGCGGCACGATTTGCTGATGGATGGCTCAGTGCAGAATTTATCCTTCTGAAGGGGACGGTGGTTGTGGCACTGCTAACTCAGCCGGGGGCACCCCTCACGTTTATTTGGTGGTACCCGAAAGGAATTTGTCCTACACGGCAAAATACTAATCAAGCAGTTTGGAGTGGACGGATTAACACTTGACAGGGTCTGCGCTTTAATGGTGAATGGTTGTCTATGGATGGTCTAGGGGGTTGATATGACTTCAGCTATGGCTTTCGTCGTATACAAATGCTTGAAACCTTAACCACCTCATCTCATGTTGATAGGATTTGTTTACTTGGCCTCTAGTTTTCTCAGGCCCAATTTGTGCGGCCCAAGTAGCGAGAATTCTTTTTGAAAAGGTGATTAAATCACTTGGATTATTATGTCTGGAATTGGGTGAATTGGGTGCAAATATTTCAAATGAATTGCTCCAGGTTCCGCTCGAGATATCTTCGTCCCTGGAATGCTTGTTTTCAATAGCTGATTACAGCTCGACGGGTTGTAGTCACTAAAATTGAACGGCTGAGATCAATTTTGTCGCGGGAGCGTCTTACAACATTACTCTCTAATTGGTAAGCTTGCGTTTTCGGCACTGTTTGTGGATGGTGTCATGGTTTTGGTCTTTATTCCACGATTTTTTCTCACCCTGTTTACAGAGCTCCTCATTTCAGATGGTGATGACATACAGTCATTATTAGGAGAGAAAATCCAACGCCAAAATTCATATTATCAAACTGGATTGATAGAAACTCGTAAGAGATAATTATTGGTTGATTTTGTTTATAAAACGCTTGATGCAGAGGGTGGTGTAGAAGACAACTTGCCAGCAATGTGCTGCCGTTTCCGACCCCATGTGACAGCCAATCCCCATATTTATTCCCCTTGACCAGATGAACTGAA